CATGGTTACTGATGAGCTTTGTGAAAGGGTGCCTTGGGCTATAGATTAAACCTAATTCGCTATTATATTATAATTAAATTAAAATAGATCGATCTATTGAAGCTGCATATCGCCAAGGCAAAAGCGGCCCGCCAGCAGCAGCAGCAGCAGCCAGTGGCAACACCAGCGCGCTCTGCAGCAGCTCCTCCAGCTATGGCAGCTGCTCCGGCTGGTCCTGCGCAGGATTGAACACTCGTATGCGCGTACCGGGTACCGTATGTTTTCAAGTATTTATGAAACATATGCACATATATGATCTATAATGTGCATTTATAGTTATGATCGGTATGTTATGTTAAAAGATTGCGGTGGAAGGTGGAAATCTTGGACGACTCAGATGTCGAGGTGACCATGGATGATGCGCTAGCAAGTGAGGGCGGAGTGGAAGAGCGGGAGTGCAAGAAGAGACGCATGACCGCAGCGAAGGGGAAAGCTTCTCCACCATGTCCAACCCCAACTGATGGCATGGCCGCTTCGCCACCTGTCCCAGCGGACGAGGCTGCAGCTCATGGCGACACTTCTATGGCTGCGGCTGGTGCTGGTGGCGCTTCTATGCCAAGCGATGGACGTCAGGCAGAGATGGATCCTGCTCGGAAGGAATACCTTGCCCAACAAGAGTCAGAGATGAGGTGTAAACTTCAAGAGCTGGGCTCGGCCTACAATGCGCTCTTAGCCAAGATGCAAGACATGGAGAAGAAACAACACATGCTGCAGTTTGCAGAGCCTCACTTGCACACTCCACCTCCAAGGAATCCAGTATTCACTCCTGACCAATTGCGGGAGGCCCCAACTGTGATCTATGAAGCTTCGAAATTCGATTGTGCGGAGAAGCACTTGCAGCCTGGGTTGCCTTTGCCTGCTACAATTGACTTAGAACAGGGAGACCTCAGGGACAATGCCATGCCCCCGGGGCCTGAGACATTCGAGACTGCAGATGATCGGGAGAAAGAATTGATGCAAGTCTTTGACCTGGACAAAGAGGACTGATTTGACGGGCTCTATGGGGTCAATTCCTCATACTGTGTATTCAATTCGAGCTTTGATAGATCTAATATATAAATTTCTTTGCAGGAGCTGACACCGCATGCAATCTACATGCGCCTCAAGCGATTGTGCGAGCGGAAGCCCACCGGAAAGTTGCAAGTGAGCGAAGAGGTTCACAATCAATGGGTTTCAGGCAATAGGGATGAGCTGACGCTAGCCTTGGTGCGGGCGCTCAAGCAATGCGGCTTTGAGACTGACCACAAGACTCGGTGTGCTGTCAGGGTGGGGGACTGTCCAACATATGTTTTGCAAGTTAAAAGTTTTCTGGAATACATAGTGGCCGGCCGGATGTGGCCGGGATATTATTGTTAAAAGTTTCTCCACCTGCTTTATTGTGACAGGCCCAGTTCGAGGAGGAGATGGTGATCATCCACGAGCAAACCAAGGAGCGAGAGGAAGAGATCCAGGGCGGCTGGTACACGGAAGAGCGTATGGCCACGGAGTTGAAATACAGCAAGATGCTTAATTAAGGCACTATAGAAAGATTTTCTTTTTAGAGTTGACCGATTATATTTGTAGTGTACACCATGCATGCCATGCATGTCTGCCAGCTGCTTCGCCCAGGACATTGATTGCAAAAGTGAAAGCCTACTGTCTCCGGTTCAAGTCGGCGCTGACAAGGCATGGTTTCTACAAAAGCTGTTTCCCGATAATGATTTATGTTAAGATCGTATCGAAAAATAATGCATGTCCATGCCATAGTAAGAGCCATGTGTTCCATGCGCAGGCCTTGGAAGTATGACGAAACCGTGCTGGAATATTTCATTGAGACCGCTGACAGTGTCAAGATCAAGAAGAAGGATCTCGAATGCCACCGCAGACAGAAGAAGGTAGATCTCGAGGCAAATGAGTCTGTACTCAGCCTGCAGGACAAGTCTTTGGTTGACCCCGCAGCCATGAGGAAGGCGCAGGAGGAGGCGACGAATGGAGGAGGGCACCTCACGAAGGCCAGTGGTTTGGGCGAGATCAAGGAGAACTTGACCAAGTTTACTGATGCGCTCCATGCCAAAGCTTCCACAGTCACGAACTGGATCATCAACCTTGAGCCACCTGCACTTCCTGAACCAACCAAGAGGGCACAGGAGCTACTAGGCTGAATTATAATTAGTGCTATTTATGACCCGATCGACTATAGAGTTTATGCCATGCGCCCTGCATGCTAAAGGTTCGTGGCAAGTGTGAAACCTTTTCTCCAATCTCTTGAGCAATGCTTCCTGGAGTTGGCAGAAGCTCAGCACTATTTGGATGCCCAAGGAAAAACCGACGAGTACCTTAGCTCAAACAATGTTTATTGTTTGGATCCGCTTATATATAATATAAGATGCATGTGCATGCACTAGTGCTCCTGCATGTGCATGCTTATCTCAGGGTATTGGACAAGATTCAGAAGGCGAAGGACAATGCTCGTGAACCGCAACTTGTAATAACTTAGTTTGCGTGACATGCATGCGTGCTATTTTACCGCAGAACACCGCAGAACATAGACCATGCTGAGGTGTGTTAAGATCTTGGCGAAGGAGCACATGTACAAGTTATTGCAAAATGAGCTCAAGTGCCAGAAGGCACTGCCCAAGGATGCTGTGGCCAAGGCGAAGGCTAAGACTAAGCCTGGCAAGCAGACGGGTGAGTCACACGAACATGAGAGGCAGGGTGCAGATGAAGAGGCTGCGCCTGAAGCGAAGGCAAAGGCGAAGGGAAAACCTAAAGCTAAAGGCAGGGCTGCGAAAGCCAAGTAGTGAGCGCATAGGCTCTTCAATGGGGTTCCTTTGCCTTTATAGTGCAAGGGCTTTTTGGGGTAGTAGTAGAACTGCCTTCAGGCCGTGAAAGGTACTGATGGGCATGACTTGAATCTAGCCTTCCTGCTCAGAATGAGCGGGCGTGCAATGTAGACATTGCTTGGGCTTAGATGGTTGCGTGCCGTAGTGTTTCTTAATCCCCCACAGGTCCCTTATTCATGCTGTTGTTCCTGTATTTCATCTTCTGCAACCATGTGTCTTAGCATGTCTTAGCTATAGATCAATGTCGAGGAAAACCAGTGCGATTTAAATGCCATTAAATTAACATCTATAGCACTCAAGGCGCTTCATATGCTATCATTAATTATGCGTGAGCTCTCTACCACCACGTGCCAGGTTGCATCGGTCCTGCTCCTCGGCGGCGAGCTGCTGCCCACGCGGTCCCCAGCAGCGTGGCGCAAAGCTTTGTTGCCAGCCTGCGGCGTGGAGTTTCTTGGATTAAACCATTGTATTATATCTTTGGGTCTATCCTATTACCATGCAGTACTACTAGAAATTTATATATAATCTATAGCTCGCTATAGCTGCTACAGGTAAAGGAATAGACCCAAAATATATATGTTCTATAGTGGTGGCTCAGCGGCGCCAGCGCGGCGGCTGTGGCTCAGCGAAGGCGGCACACTGGCGGCAGCTTGGTGGCAGCGGAAAAAGCGCCTCGGTGGCGGAGTGGCAGCAGAAGCAGCAGCGGCGGCGGAGCGGCAGCGGAAGCGGCGGTGGCAGCGTAGCGGCGGCGGAGTGCCAGCGGAAGCGCTGGCGGCGGCGCGGCGGCGGCAAAGCAGCAGCGACCTTGGCGGTCATGGTAAATTAAATATATAGTTCGAGATATAATACGATAATTATATCTAAAATATGAATTGAAACTTATTAGATCAACTAAGGGGTTTGAGCTTCTACGTGTGCCTCGGAGGCACCTGGAGTCCAGCTGGTGGAGCATGCCCGAGCAATCCTCAAAGATGATTGCAAATTAAGGATTCACCGGAAAGATCCAATTATTGAGCCTAGGGTGCTATATTTTAGTTCTCATGCATTTTTAGTTCATGCATCTTAATGCTGTAGGTTTGGAAATTGGCTTCAATGTGAACTCTAAATAAATCACAATTACATTTGCAACCGAGGAGCGGATTGCCAAAGCTGGCCCAGAGCATGCAGTGACTTGACTTAAGCATAGCAGTGCTGTGGGCACTGCTTTTGCATCGCATCACCACGCATCCAATTTGCAGCAGGCGCAGTACTTTATAATTGCGGGTGCATGGCTATTGTGTTTCGTTGGAGGTTCGGGCTACTTTGAAAGCCTTGGACAATGCCGGGCTGCGTGCGCCTGTTCAAATCAGTGCTGGACAGATTGCAGATAATGGGAACTATCCTTGGATTAGGCCGCAGGACTTTGTGGCGGGTTTGAGTTCCAGGAGGCGCTTGGATTTGTTGCTGCCAAAGCCAACACTAGCGGCCAGCAAGCCAGTCCTATCGGAGTATTGGAAACGTTTTCATGCTCAATATGGTGCTCATGAAATTTTTTCTTTGGTGCCAGCGTCTGAACTAGAGATCACTGTCCCCATCAAGATTCATGGGGGCGAGGGCAGGAGTATCTTGGCTTAATTGAAGGATTGTTGACAGTAATCTAAACTTCAATGCTAGCATGTGCATGCCGCGCATATGCTATCAAATGCTGGTGCATGCATCCAAGGTAAAAAAAGACTCCAATCATGCTGGTTAGTTGGCAGCCTGTTCTGGGATCTGGCGCATCGAAGTTCATCCATCAACCCAAAGAAGTCCAGGAGTTGTCCATGGGTCTTAACCTATTGGGACATTGCGATGCTTGCCACGTATAGACTCCAAGTGTGCAAGAATGATCTGTTAACATTGTTTTGTGCACAGATCGATTTATAGCTAAGGAGAAGACTCGGTTTTTGTCATGGGCAGCGCTGAAAGAGACTTATGGTGACAATCCTGACGCCATGATGGATGCTTTACGTAACCTGTCTGTGAGCCTTCGCCAAGCGCTCCTCACTAGCAATTTAAAAGTTCATGTTTGCACGCAGCCTAAACAAACATAACATTGACCTCCCCAAACTCCTGAGGCTTCTTTGTGGGATTGTTATTGAAGAAGGTGGAGAAAGAAAAATGATTCGCCTGGGGGTGACAGGCGTGAAGGGAGATTGGCCCTTTCTAGCGAAAGCTGGGTGCCTAGAGAGGCATTTTGGCAGAGCGCCCAAGAAAGGCGAGTCCAGGATTGCTCCAAAGGCCATTTGCCATCTTTGCCTAACAGGACTCCCAGGTTACCACATTTCTGAATGCAGTAACAATCCTCGCTTTGAACAGACTATGGAGATTTGGTTTGCAATGAATTAGCTTCAATAATTTTCTTATTCATAGTTTGCTCAGCTAAGTTTCCAAATGTTCCAATGGTTTCCCTTAGCAGCTCTGAGGACAGTGCGGCAGCACAAGTACCTTGGGATACTTTGAGCCCGCTCTTGGAGCACTTACCCAACTTTCCGCGGGCTGCGCTGATGCTGCGGCCAGATGTTTGGCACAATTGGCATCTGGGGATGGGCAAAGCCTTTTTGGCCAGTGCTATGGTGTCTTGGATGTTTCAGCTAAATAGTCAATGACACTTCTGAATTTACTATATTACATCACTATGGATCAATTGAGGTTCTTTCCTTGGATATTTGTCCTCATGGCTCCATTGACAACAAATTTCAGTTCATGACTTCGGAGTGGTTGAGTTTCTGCAAAAGCAACTGGGCTAATTTGCGTATTGATGCCTTATAATTGATGTTCTGTCTAAATTGTCTTTTACTTGGGAAGTGGGTCCAAGGAATGCGGGAGAGACCATATTTCACCAGCATATCGAAGGGCACACTTGATTTCCATGGAGGGCATCTTCGCCTTTATAGTTAGCCAAAAAATGTTTGGGTGCTGGATGTGCAGATTGCTTTTATAGATTTCACAACATCTGATTCCATGATGCAGCCTCTAGGTTGTACTGGCCAGATGGCGGCTGGCAGAAAGCGAGCACTACGACGCTGCTGTGCGATGCATGGCTTGACTGGTTTGGTGTGTGTACTTTTCCAACCTGGCATTGAAGCATTGCACTTTTAAGGAATGGATGGAGGTGTGGCTGAGCGATCCATCACGAGTGGAACTGGTGGCATCGGAGCAAAGGCTGCAGCTGGTGCTACTGGTGCTGCGATCCATCAATGAATTGTTTCGAACATTGTATAGATCTGGGGCATGGCTAGATCAAGCTACTGCAAAGCGAGTTGCATTTTTGGGTTTGCAAAGCATGAGGGGGTACAGGAAGTTGGCAGTTCTGTCAGTGGCCTTGCGGCAACCACGGTTCCCGGTGTATCCAAAGTTTCACATGTTGTTTCATGCTTTTCGTTTTGTGGAACTGAGTGCGGAGGCCAATGAATGGACAGAATCTCCACTTACTGATTCATGTCAAATGGATGAGACCTTTATTGGAGTCTTATCACGATATAGTAGGAGGGTCAGCCCCAAAGATACAATTTCTCGAACCTACGATATTTACCTGACAAGCCTCCACCAGCAGTGGCAAAGGCCACTGTCAAAGGAGTCAGAAGATGACGCAGAGCAATTGTGAAAGGGAGAAAAGACAGCTTTCTGTGGCAAAAAACAAACATGAGATAGTAAACATCATTAAACATCATAATTTACTTATACTTAACATACAAAAACCTTTAATAGTGATACACCCGGAGAACATCATGTTGAGCAACTTTACCCGGACTAGTGTAACAATTCCTGAAATCAAGCCGGAGAAGCCGGACTCGAGCAACAATTCAAAAAAAAAATGTTTTTCTACAAGTAGTGTGGAAATTTCTACTCTTATGGTTTAGTTGGACAGTACATGCTGGGGCGACTACTACCTTGCACGTTGCCAGCATCTTTCGTGTCCTGCAAACAAATGAATAGAACCATTTCCTTGCAGGTTCACACAGGCAAGGTTCAGGAGTATATGCTGCAATGTTGTATGATGTTGTATAAGAGACCTGTAGCCGCGCCACACTCTCTGGATGTCGATAGCGTACCTCTGTCAGGCTGAGATGCCTCTAGTCGAGTCAGCACAGAGAAGATCAAGCTAAAGCGGACAACAAACTCAGGTAACCTATTGAACACGACTACACAAGCCTGAGCAAAATTAGGGTATCTTTGAGAGCAAGGAGCACGTTGAGACTGCCATGTCCCTTGCTTTGTCCAGCCGAATCATCACAGGCTGCTTTGCAAACACCTTGCTCTTTCCAAGGACCTGCAATGCAACATGAAGTAGCATGAGAACGGAAGCCCTCAAGTTCAGCAAGGCCGGTCTTGCTCCAACTGTTGTATACCGGCATGAAGGCTATGAACTGGACTTCGGACAGGATACAAATGTCGGTTGGCACCAAAGTGGCTACTGTAAAGAAGCCGTGTCGTCTGTTCAGAAAACACCCAACCTCTCTAAAGCAACCTCTCTGTTCTCTAAAGCAATGCCGCTGGGCGGACTAAATCTCCAGTTGCACAACCGCCCAAGGGAGCCAAGGCTTCTGGCAGGGCCTGCACACATTGCGCATGTTTGGCAGAAGCGGAGGAGGCAGTCAGTCTCTATCACAACGGCAGCAACTCTGCCAGTTCCCAGCCATGGAGAAGTTTGAGAACGGAATACATCAGACCCAGAAAAATTGAGCCATCACCAACTTGGATTTTCTGTGCTTCCCAATGTAGGTTGTTCAAGTAAAGGATTCAAGCATTTTCAGTCGTAAACCCGCCATAATACAGGCGACATTTAATGAGAGGTCCAATGATGGACTGGCATCGCTCGTCGCTCCATGATCTGCAGTTGCTTCAACATATTTTTCCAATTGAACAATTGCTCTTTTTTCAGGCTCAAGGGAGCCGTCCTCTGCAAAAGCTTTGGCTCGGTCCGCTTCCGAGCTTGAACTGAGGATGGCTTTCAGCTTTGCCTGCCAAAGAAGGTTCTAGAGAGATGTCAAACAGGTCTTTAACCTAGGATCGATAAATGATGACGAATAGGAAAAGTGGCTATTAGAAGGATGTGTATAGATGGGCTCATTTTGGAAGAGGAGTAGCACCAAAACAGCTCCCACGGCTTGTTGAAAGGGCAGCAGATTGCCGACAAATTGCCAGTTTCTCAAACAGGGGGAGTCCTAGAAAGCTAGGATGTAGTGTCGATGCTTGTCACGCTCAACTTTAGCAGGCAGGAGGCATTGTTTGAATCCGTTGACATTGCAGGGTACACCAGAAACCGTAAATGAGATTTGACAAAGCAACATGTTCCTCACATGAAGGTCAAATAGCCAATCTGCTGAACATAGGAGACCAACAATACCAGCTTAGCACCTTTGGCACCACAATCTTGTAGCGGCCAAGAAAGTCTCCAAAGGGGACGCGAGCTGCAAAGCCAGACTGGCGGATGCGAACAGCCTGTCAAGAGTATTGCTGTTCGCCTAGCCTAGCCATTGACATCAAATGCAGCGAGTTGAAACCACTCCAAACAATCACTGCCTGAAAACTCCAGGACTAGAAATGCTGTCAAGACTCCAATGCTGTTTGTACGAAATATGTGTCATGTTTGTGGAGAATGGGAGAAAGAGAGAAAGAAACAAACAAAGGGAGGGAGCGAGGGAGGGAGGGGGACTGAAGAGCCTCAAAGACACCGCTACAAGTAAGTTGCTCCATGGCCAGGGTAGAGGCAAATTTGTCCGGAACCTGCATACAATGGCGAAGCAATACTGCAACCGTCTCAAACTAGCAGCCTGTATCTGAAACCAATGACTCGATCCAAGAAAATGATATTCGTGCTGCTAGGCTCGTCTTGGAATGGATTTCACGTCCCATTGTATACCAGCAAAAACAATCAAAAACAAGAACTCGTTCCTTTTTTGTGTTTTGTTGTTGCTTTTCCCTTCTTTAGACTTTTAGACCTTTGGACCTACTGTTTCTCAACAACCTTGTGACATTGTGTCTTTGGACTTCAGCCCACCTTTTCCGGGTTGGGCTTCACGCAACGGATGAAGTGAGGATCAGCCTCGTTCAACTTTTGCACCTCAGGGGTTCATTGAAATCGTAACATCGCACATGTGTATTGGACGGCTGCCTGTTACATGGTATAAACTGGAATGTCTGAAAAAAATCAACAGAAATATTGCATCAATGGACTGCTACTCACGCAACAGTCTACTTTGTGCTGTGCCAGCCATAGCTTACCTTAAACTACTGCAGTACGGGCTCAGCAGGACACTCAGGACAGCAGGAGCTTTCGTTCTTCCACCAGTCCTACAAACTGTCTGCTGTGAAGGATTCTGAGATCTCCAGCCAATGACGCTAACGAGCTCCGGAAACCAGAGCTGACTGTTTTTGCCTTCGCAAGACTCGCAAAAACTCGCAAACAGCTGGAGGACTCACCACTGGAGGCCTCTGCCTCATTATTCTTACTCTCTACATGGAGAATCATTGTGTCACAGCAGGAATCGTCGTTGTATTCTTAAGGAAAGTTGCATTCGTTCCCAGGCCTTCTTCTTGCCAGGACCACCAGTTGCTTCAGCCAACTCTTCAGCGATTGTTGTACCAATCTGCACCCAAAGCATCCATGTGACCGTCTGGGCTTTGTAAATCGTGATGCCAGGATACATACTGTATCTGCAAATGTTCCATACTACGTGTTGGCCTCGAAACTTGTTTCGCATGTCTAGCAGGGTCTTGACTACACGAGTCTTGCGTCATCAATCCACAAGCAAGCCAGTGCCAGTGCATAGCAGAGTAAGCACATCTCCAACCCAGAAGAACCGTCCCAAAGGTGGGCATACTACCCATTTCCTTCCGTTCTTTCTTCCTTTAGTCAGAACACTTCCAGCAACCAAGTTTGGTTTGTCAATGAAAGACAGCGCCTCTTGGAGCACTGAGAGGCTAGATGCTTTCAGCAAATCTGGAGCCTTCCAAAGGCCAGGTACAGAAATCCATGTGCTCCAAAGCAATGGCAATCATGGGCACCATCCCACTGACCACCCACAAGGAAGCAGCCAAACAAAAAGTTGCCTTTAGGAATTTTGAGTACATTACGGCAACAGCTTTGATATCCATCCCATCCACATCCCTTTTTCCATGTCTTTCCTCTTCTTCTCCTGCTCATACCTTCCTGTTTCTGATTTCTCTATCTTCTCTTCTTTATGATGCGATGTTGTCTTGGTGCAACGGCCTCATCAGGAGGTTTGTCCACGTTTTTCTCCAAGAAGCCTTCACAAGTATAGGTCACCTGCCATCGATAAAACAACCCATCATGGCCCTCCAATTTGCGGTTTTCCTCTACAAGTTCAATAATATAATGTGAAAGGTGTCATGATTCTAAACCGACAAAGGATGCAAGCATTCAAAGGACCTTAAACAACCAAGGTGGTATAGAAGCTGTCGACATTCATGAACCTTAGGACCTTCAAATTTCATGCTACCATGAATCTACCATGATGTTTCACACAGGCCCATCGAGATTGGCGGATACATTCAGGTTCCCAACTCTGGCTGAACTGACTGTACAAGAGCCAGCTTGGCTCCGCATGAGGTTGCTGGCCAAAACAATTGTTTGGAGCAAGGTCTGCCAAAAGTCCCTGTTGGACCCTGCCATGGACATGTGTCCCGGCGCCCAAAAAATGAATTGAATGGAAACATTGACTTAAAATCATGTAAAGATTCAATTGAATTCATTTCTCATTTGCGGTATTTGTTCACGATGAAATTCACCAAGGATTGGACATCCTCATATGTGCTCAAGTACCTCACACACGGACCCACATAGCTTGCATCCTCACCAGTTCCCTGCAATTCTCTGCTTCAGTTCCAGATACCATTGCAACCTGTCTTACAAATAGTAAAGTTTGTGGGACGGGACAAAGGAATCACAAAACACCTCAGCCAGAAGAACTTGGCAATAGGTTAGGCAGCCTTCAACACGCATCTGCCAAAACAAACATAAATGATGCAGCCCAACTGCAAAAACGGGCCTGTAACGTGCACGAAACTGCTGTGTTTAGTCAAAAAATTAGATGCCCGACTAAATTTTGTATGCCTTAGTTGTTTTCGTGCACCAACCTGCTTTCTACAACCCCCTTCGGACTCTATCGTGCCTTAAAAAGCAAAAGAATCCTTGCAACATCTTGCACATCATCTCATGCTATTAGGTTGGAGGCCATCGCTACTAGGGTGGAGGCCATCGCTAGTAGCCCTCAAGGCCCAAACCTCTTGGCATCAGCGCCGCGATGCGGGTGGTTCCCCCCCAGGGAGGGGGTACCAATTGGGCGAGACCTGGAGGATGGGATCCGTAGGATCCTAGACGAGTTTTCACGTTGGGGTGATCACCATGGAGGTCTTTCCGACAGGCCTAGCTTGCTGGTTCAGGACTTTGGATTGCGAGATGAAGCTGATCTTTTTGCCTTTGAGGCCTCACATTTAGTATGTGCAGGCAGGAGTCTGGCCCAGGTACACATGGATTGCAAATGATTGCAATGGATTGCATATGGATTGGCAACGACATGCCAATGAACCAAAAGCTGCGCTTCAAATGGCAAGATCCTGATACAGCAGCCTTGCACAATTGGTGCATGCAAGGACTTGCAGGTAAGTGCATGATCTGGGATGCGACCCAGGAAGCTGACTTGGCGATTGATCGGCGCACATGCGTTTTGCCACTCTGCAAAACGACTCAGGGTCCTGTCCCAGTGTTGCACCTTTTTGGCGGCTCGTGGGGCGGCTGGAGCTTCGCTGGACAGATTCTTTCGGAGATGGGTTTCTCCATCATCTCAGGCGCCATCGAGATTGACTATGCTACTGCTCGGAGCTATGCAATATCTCACAGGATGGAGATGAATTTGCCTCCTCTCTCCCTCTTGTCATTCCCAGAGAGTTGGTGCCTATGCGCAAATGCCTTGGACCCAGCATGGTATGAGGCGGTTGCATTCTGGGGAGCTGAAATTGTGTCCATTTCTGCACCCTGTCCACCTTGGAGTGGAGCAGCCCATCAGCGTGGTCTACATTGCAGCGACGGCCAACTGCTGCTGCGTAGTATTGCACTCTGCAAAGTGCTTCAACCTAAGCTCATCCTCCTTGAACAGGTGGCTGCCTTCCATTTCCATCCCCATAGGGCTTGGATCCAGCGAGCTCTTTAGTTCTCTGGCTATCAGTTGAGATTTTCTCATGTGACTCATGTGCTGGAACTGGGTGATCTGATGGGTACACGGAAGGCTGGTTGGTTGGGTATTGCATATTTGGTTCACGAAAATGACCTGCAATTTCCTGCCATCTCATCCTGGAATATTGAGCGTTGGAGGAGTTGGACTGCATCATGTCCTGGCCCACTGACATCTTGATGCCTGAGGAGGCCTTGGCTCAGTCTTGTCCATTCCCATTGGAAAGAGGCACCAAACGGCAACGGAGATGTTCGGCTGATGAGGCTGCCCGCTCTCATGTTTTCCGGCATCAGGACAAGCTGTTGCCTACCTTCATGGCCCAACATGGCAATCAACACCGGCTGCAAGACGAACTTCTGGAGACTCGTGGGTATTTTACCCATTGGCTGAAAGAGGCAGAGGACTTGAGGGATTTTGCTGGATTCCAGCAAGGCCATCGCTATCCATCGCTAGTAGGTTGAGGAGTACGGTGGAGGCCATCGCCGCCATTAGGTGGACGCCAATGCTAGTAGATTGGATGCCATGCTATTAGGGGGAGGCCATTGCTTGGAGGCCATCGCTATTAGGGGGAGGCAATTGCTAGTAGGTTGGAGATGGTTGGGGGCCATCGCAATAGTAGGTTGGAGGCCATCGCTATTAGGGGAAGGCCATTGCTAGTGGGTTGGAGGCCATCGGTTGGAGGCTATCGCTATTAGGGGGAGGCCATTGCTAATAGGATCTAATAGGTTAGGGCCATCGCTATAGTAGGTTGGAGGATGTTGGAGGCCATCGCTATTACGGGGAGGCCATTGCTGTAGTAGGTTGGAGGCCATCGCTATTAGGTGGAGGCCATTGCTAGCAGGTTGGGGGCAATCGCTAGTAGGTTGGAGGCCATCGCTATTAGGGGGAGGCCATTGCTAGTAGGTTGGAGGCCATCGCTATGCAGGTTGGAGGCCATCGCTATTACGGGGAGGCCATTGTGCTAGTAGGTTGCAAGAGTGGTTGCAAGCCATCGCTAGTGGATTGGAGGCCATCGCTATTAGGCGGAGGCCATTGCTAGTAGGTTGGAGGCCACCGCTAGTAGGATGGAGGCCATCGCTATTAAGGGGGAGGCCATGGCTATTCGGGGGAGGCCGTTGCTAGTAGGTTGGAGGCCATCGCTATT